GTCCCAGCCTATTTGGGAGGGACTTAACTCTGCCATGCTCATGAAAAGCCCTGCTTTATCTATGGGCTGGAGAGGTACTTCGCTGTTAAGCACATATGGTCGTGACCTAACCCTCAAAGAACAAGTTAGTGGTGGTTTTCCTGTGGATTTCAGTAGACATAAGAGCAACAGATTATTTCCCGGAAGATAAGAAAAGCTGGAATAAAACAACCTGGTAATTATCTGACATTGTGTCCATTTCAATGTCATGATAATCTGAAGAAACAAATTCTTGACCATCCAGTTGTGTGAGGTAGTGAGTTCCCTCAGCTCTCTTTCAAGTTAGTAGCAGCCATATGGTAATTGCTCTTTGCCTGAATTCCAGCTAATGTTCAAACTCAGGCACGGGACGCTGAGGTACACCCGTTCCCAGAGGACAAAAGCCTGTGCCGTGAGTTATAAGGGGTTTGCACCATGGGGACTGCCATGTATTTTGAGTGAAGCTGTTGGAGGGCATCAATTTAGAGCAATTGCTTTAATAACGTTCAGGTAGAGGAGTTAGTAGTGCTCTCTTTAGAATAATGTGTGAGCGAAATGTAGCTTGTTGTTCAAAAACTTTTTCTTTCTTCTCTGTTTAATATCTACAGTTTTCTGTCAGAATTTTTGAGAGAATTCAACCTGTTGTTTAATTCTGGTGCATTGAATCCTATGAGTTACAGACATGTGGATACAATCATTTTGTTTGCTAGAGGATATACTTTTAACATGTACTGTCTGTATTTAAGGAATGCTTCTTCAGCTCTATTCATTAAATAAACAAAGGCAAAAGCATCAGAAAATTGTGCAGTCCATCTGACAACATGCTCTTATCTTTGACATTACAGTAAAAATACTTCCCAGTGCATGGCAGTGTAAACAAATACTGTATTTTGTTTGCTTTTTCCAGGTACAATTGTGATGAGGATAAATGCAACAGATGCAGATGAACCAAATAACCTCAATTCCAAAATTGCTTTCAGGATTGTTTCCCAAAGCCCTAGCGCTGCATTCAGTATGAATAAGGATACTGGCGAAGTTCGAGTAGCAAAAATTAACCTTGACAGAGAGGTAAAAAAAAAAAAACCCAAAAAAACCCCAAAACAACGCTCTCATTTGTAATCTGTTAACAGCAGTTTTCTGATGCCTGTTGTGACACCTTCAGCCCTGCCTGCCGGGGTGAAGAGCTGACCCTCTTACCTTCCTTCACTTCCCTGGGGATTAAAGCCTTGTCTGGCGGATGCATGTTTTCCAGGG